GTGGGCGTTAGGGTAGAGATCAACCAAAGGACGTATATGCATGCATATAAGCATAACCAGTGGACACAGACACCAGGGGGGTGGAGGCATGAGTGTGTGTGTGTGGTGGGGGGCAATGAGGGGATAGAGACATATGTGTAATATCTTAATCAATAAAGAAAAAAAATATTGGTGGGAGATTTAAGAACCAGTGTAGGTTTACCAAGTGCCTCTTTCCCTTTTCATCCTTGATGACAGTGTCCCAGGTAGAAGACATTCCATTAACCTGGGTCCCAGAATAAAGATAAAGTAGATCTCTAGTTCACCTTGGTTTGGAGTATGAGTGAGAAATAAACTGGTGTGTCATGAGCCACTAAGATTTAGGAAAAGGGTTTCTTTCTCTTCCTTCCTTCCTTTCTTTCTTTCTTTCTTTCTTTCTTTCTTTCTTTCTTTCTTTCTTTCTTTCTTTCTGGTGTGTCATGAGCCACTAAGATTTAGGAAAAGGGTTTCTTTCTCTTCCTTCCTTCCTTTCTTTCTTTCTTTCTTTCTTTCTTTCTTTCTTTCTTTCTTTCTTTCTTTCTTTCTTTCTTTCTTTCCTCCCTCCCTCCCTCCCTCCCTCCCTCCCTCCCTCCCTCCCTCCCTCCCTCCCTCCCTCCTTTCTTTCTTTCTTTCTTTCTTTCTTTCTTTCTTTCTTTCTTTCTTTCTTTCTTTCTTTCTTCCTTTCTTTCTTTCTTTCTTCTTCTTTCTTTCCCTAATCTAAGCTATAATGCTTGTTTAAACTATATCCTAAACCTAAATCTTGATGAGCCTCTGAAATACGGCTGCAGATTTGACTAATATTTACTAGCTGTGACCATTTGTGCCTCATATTTTTATTCCATAAAGTGGGAAAATTAATTTACATGCCAGAAAAATTATAATAAAGTTTACATGAGTTGATTTATACAACATGTTTAATAGTAGTTGGCACATAATAAGGTCTCCAAATATCAGCTATTATTATTATTATTATTATTATTACTATTATTATTATATTTTCATGGTAATAAGTGTATTTATTTTTATTTCCTTCTAGCTTATTTATAACTATTTATAAGCATTGTAATAGTATATTCTTTTATAAGCTTATCTTTATTTTCAACTAGATATTATGTTCTTGGCTATAAGAGCCATGCTTTACTCTTGTAACTGTTAAAAGATAAAGTGAGGCATATTACAAATTATAAAAGTTTATTTGAGCAAACAGCTATTTGAAATGGGCAGCATTCAATGTAGCAGTTAGGAGCTCCAAGGGAGCTGTATGAAATGAATGACCCTCATAGCCTAAAGAGAGCAGGAATAAGGAAGTTATACTAAAAAAAACAGTGAGTTGATTATTCTAAGTTAAAGACAAAGCTCATTTTATTGTGCTTTGCTTTATTGTACTTCTCAGATATCATTTTTTTTGTTTTTACAAATTGAGGTTTTGTGGCCACCCTGCATTGAGCAAATAAATTGCACCATTTTCCCAGCAGCATTTTTCTCACTTCGTGTCTCTGTGTTACATTTTGTTAATTCTCACAATATTTCAAAGTTTTTCATTACTATTGTATTTTTTTATGCTGATCTGTGATCAGTGACCTTTGCTGTTACTATTATAATTGGGGAACCATGAGCTGCACCCATATGAGAGGATGAACTTAGGTATGTGTGTTTTGACTGCTTCACTGATCACCTGTTCTCCCATCTCTCATACTTTCCTTGGACTTTCCTATTTCCTGAGACAAAGCACTTCTGAAATTAGGCCAATTAGTAACCCTCAGTGGCCTCTCAGTATTCACATGAAAGGAAGAGTCGCACATCTTCCACTTTAAATCAAAAGTTAGAAATGATTAAGTAAGGAAGGCCTGTGGAAACCAAGATATGCTAAAAGCTAGGCCTCCTGCACCAAGTTATGAGTGCAAAAGAAAAGTTTTTGAAGGAAATTAAAAGTACTACTCCAGTGAACACGTGAATGATAAGAAAGCCAAACATCCTTACTGCTGATATGGAAAAGTTTTAGTGGCCTGGATAGTCAATCCAGCTACAACATTCCCTTTAACCAAAGCCTAATCCAGAGCAAGACCCTAATTCTCTCCAGTTCTATGGAGGGTAAAAGAGGTGAGAAAGCTGCAGAAGAAAATGTGACAGTAGCAGAGGTTGGTTTAAGGGGATTAAAGAGGAGTAAAGAAAGAAGCCATTTCCAAAACATAAAAGTACAAGGCAAAATTGATGTAGAAGCTGTAGCAAGTTATCCAGAAATCTAGCTGAAATGATTAATGAAGGTGGCTACATCAAATATCAGAGTTTCAGGGTAGATGAATTAGTTTTCTATTGGAAAATGATGCCATCTAGGACTTTCATAGCTACTAGATAGGAGAAGGCAATGCCTAGCTTCCAAGTACAGGCTGACTTTCATGTTAGAGGCTAATGAAGCTTGTTATTTTAAATTGAAGCCAATGCTTATTTGTCATTCTGAAAATCCTAGGGCCCTTAAGAATTATTGTAAATCTACTCTTCCCATGTTGTACAAATGGAACAATGAAGCCTGGATGACAGCAATACAATATGATTTACTGAATATTTTAAGCCCACTGTTGAGATCTACTACTCTGAAAAAAAATTTCTTATAAAATATTACTGCTCATTGACAATGCACCTGGTTACCCAAGAGCTCTGATGGGGATGTACAACAAAATTTATGTCATTTTGATGCTTGCTAACACCACATCCATTTGGAGTAATTTCAACTTTCAAGTCCTATTATTGAAGAAATACTTTTTGTAAGGCCATAGGTGCCATAGATAGTGATTTCTCTGATGGATCTGGGCAGAGTAAATTGAAATCCTTGTGGAAAAGATTCACCATTCTAGATGCTGTTAAAAACATTCATGAGTCATGGGAAGAGGTAAAATATCAACATTAACAGGAGTTTGATGGAAGTTGGTCCAGTCTTCACAGATGACGTTAAGTGGTTTAAGACTTCAACAGAGGAAGTAACTGAAGTTGTGGTGGAAATAGCAAGAGCACCAGAATTAGAAGTGGACCCTGCAGAGGTGACTGAATTGCTGCCGCAGTCTCATGATGAGGGTGAGGATACACTCCTGCTAATGGATGAGGAGCTGCTTCTTATGGATGAGCAAAGAAAGTTGTTTCCTGAGATGGGATACACTCCTGGTTGAGATGCTGTGAGGATAATCAAAATAACAAGATTTAGAATATTGCATCTACTTAGCTGAAACCGTGGCATGGTTTGAAAGGATTGACTCCAATTTGGAAAAAAAGTTCTATTGTGGGTAAAATGCTGTCAAACATCCATCACATTGTGCAGAGAAATCGTTCATGAAAGGTAGAACCAATCGATGTGGCAAACCACATTGTTGTCTTATTTTAAGAAATCGTCACAGCCACCCCAACCTTCAGCAACCACCACCCTGACCAGTCAGCAATCATCAACATCAAGGCAAGACTCTTCACTGTCAAAAAGATTATGACTTGCCAAAGGCTCAGATGATAGTTAACCTTTTTTAGCAATAAAGTATTTTTCATTACGTATGTGCATTGTTATTTTTTAGACATAATTCTCTTGCACACTTAATAGACTACAGTATAATGTAACTATAGCTTATACAGGCACAGAAAAACCAGAAAATGTGTGTGACTCACTTTGTTGCTGTGGTCTGGAACCAAGCCCACAATGTCTCTCAGATATGCCTATACTTTCCTTCAGGGGATGGCATTTGTCTATCAGATAGATTACATAACTTAATGCTGTTTGGGCTATTTCTGATTGATTGGCTTAAGATTCCATTACTGGGAGAGCTAAAACTGTAATTAAGTGTCAGTTTGGTGACATGAGGCTTAGTGTAAGTTACTCCATTTGGGGCCTTTTGTCGTGCTTTTAACAGTGTACATTGTACTACACAGCATAACAACTCGTGCACATATCAGAGTAGTTGCAAGATAGTCCATTTCAACTAATGATTAGAAGTACAAGTTACAGAGAACATGATTTGAACCCTTATCTGCTGCAATGGCCTATGTGATCTGGAAGAGTGATGGACACTCTCCAAATCCTTGTTTACTCAATAGTGGGTTAAAGTTATTATCTCCCTTCATGTTTGATGAGCATTAATTAAAATAATGTGTTTAACGCCTTCAGCACAGGGCCTGGCACACCAGTGACGGTAGTTTTTGTTAGTAGATGCTCAGTACAGATGAACACAATGAATAAAGAGATTCATCTAAACATTTTATAATGATTCTCTACTTTTTCCTAACATCTGCATCATGTGAAACCTAAAACACAGTCTAGCTTCCCATTAAGCTTGGCTTACGCTTTTCTCTAGATGTTTTCTATCTATAAAAATTGTCTCTCTGACATTTTTCTGGATTAACATGTTGTTCTTTCTCTCTTTTGTGGATTTTTTTGTGTACTTCTACTTGAGCACAGAGGTGGTGCATGGTAGGTGCTTAATAAATATTCAAAACGTGGCCTTTGAAAACACTAGGTATTTAGCCAAAGTTAGATTACGTTTACTAGTAGAAATCTCAGATAGCCCATTAATAGACTCACCAGGACCAAATTTAGAAAAATTCTAACTCTTAATTCCTATAGGTAATAAATATTTGATTTTCAAGAATCATTACCAAAAAAATGTAGGAATTAATATTCATAGTGATAACTTGGTATAATTCATTACTTCACTAATATTCACAATAAAGAACTCATGCTAAAAATAATATTTTAAGTAGATTAAGCTGATGTGTTTTTTTTTCCTCATTCACATTAAATTAGTAGTCTGAGGGTTCATACCTAAACACATTAACCTTATAATTATATTTATTTATTTGTTTGTTTGTTTCTTTATTTTGCTACAAGATGTCAAATTATCTTTATAGGAAGGGAGCCTTGATTTCTTGGTGACATTTATCATAATGAACAAACTTTTGTGTTTTGCTTATAAATAGGCTCATGTTTTGTTTTGTTTCTTCTATATAAGCATCACTTGTGAAGTAAATATAGATGAATGTCTATCAAAACCCTGTCTCCATGATGGAGCTTGTATTGATGGCATCAATCATTATACCTGTGACTGCAAGAGTGGCTTTTCTGGAACACACTGTGAAACAAATGCAAATGATTGCCTCTCAAATCCTTGTCTGCAGGGAAGGTAGCTATTTTTGTTTTTCTATTATTAAATCTCAGAAAGTAAATTTAACTCACAATACTTAAGACTTAATGTCAAGGGAAAGTTGATAAAGTTAATTTTAATTACGCTCCTTCATAAAACTAGAGCTAAGTACAGTTAAGATGACAGATGCTGCCTTTTCTACTTAATGCAATGCACTGATACATTTTCTCTGCCCTTCTTTTATTTCTACACATTAGCATAAATTTCAATAAATGCAGATTAATTGGTCTTTAATATACTTAAAGGTAACTGCTCACAGTAATAGAAGCAGCAGGTAGGATGAGAAGACATTCTATTATTTGCTCTGTGGAGGGATAATACCACACACTTAGTATTTAATATGTTCCTAAGTAAACTGGTTCTTTCATCCCTATGTGCATGTAAGCTATTTTGTGGCTTTCTTTATGGAATTGTATAATGATTCTTCTGCTCATTGATAGCAAATTAGTTTATGCAAATCTAGAGTAGGGGCATTTCTAGGAGATGCGAGTGATAAAGAAGAATGTCTTTCAGATGCACCAAGTTGCCTTTGCAGCATTATTATTACTTGTTTTTTCCTAGTCCTGCCACTGACTTTGTACAAAGGGAAGGCAGGATGAAGATGGATAGCTCATTGCAATAGAGTTCAGCCATAGCTGCCTTCAGTTTCCTAGATTAGCCCTACACGTACTGTAGATCTTCTAGAACTCTTCCTTCTTTTCATTGCCATGGGGAAGATGGCAAAAATGAAAATTGATTTGTTCTTTCAGCCCAGTCACCTTGAAGGATAAGAAACCGGGAATAGACTGCCTTCTGTTCATGGGAATGTGTATGTGTGTTTTTGTTTTTTGGGTTTTGGTTTTATTTTTACCTGAACTGGAAAAGAGCAATTCTAAATATTTAAACTCTCTTGAATTTATGCTTTAATGTCTTATTTACTTAAAAATGTTATTCTATGTTTCAGATGCACAGATGTCACTAATGAATATCAATGCTCCTGTGATACAGAATGGACTAGCTCAAGATGTGAGATCAAGATTAATGTAAGTTGAATAATTTTGATTAAATCTATAGTAATTCAAAAGAACAATCAAATCACTTGCTGTAGATTTCAGAGTTATTTCTTCAATTATTAATGATTTAACTACTCGGTTCCTCACTATCTCTTTTTGGAATTTTTCAGCTGCTTCAAACAAAAATCACAGCCTCTTTTTGCCTTTTCCCCTCTGTCTCTTGTTATCTTAAACTTCTGAAATCTGGAGCCTTCATTGAACTAAATTCTGGATATGGTCATTGAAAAAAGTACCTCAGAAGGTTTATAATTTTTCACATGCCTACCTCTCTCTACTCTTAGAATACACAGGTGTCTGTGGATGTGTAAGGATGAGAGAAGATTCAGTGATCCAGATCTCACTCACACACACACACACGCACACACACACACACACACACACACACACACACACACTAATAAATACTAGATGGATGTGCCCAGGGGTGGGTACATATAGTACTCTGAGGATCTTTCTTCCAGTATTCAGGAGTCCAATGTGATCTAATGGACATATGGTACTTTATGTGGAAAGCCTAATCTGTTGGGGAATGTTGGTTGCCTGAAGTTTGAGACTATTCCTGGGACATGAGAATCTCATGAGCCTTTCTGGATAATGGGGAGTTCTTCCAAATCCTTCCTGCTGACAGGAACATGGTAAAGGAAGGAAGCATAGGGGCTAAAGAAGCCTTCAGCTTAGTGAGACTGCGGATATTTTATTTAAATCCTTTCTGTCTCTCTCCTACCTTAGTAAAATACAGTTTATACATCATAGGGTCATTGTATGATCATGTACATGAGAGGTGATAGATACTCAGTAAATGATACTTTTGGATAGAGTGATGGGGTACTTAAATGCATTAAGGGGAAAGATGATTGACCTATATTTTCCTACTTACTTTCTGTGTGTTCTTGGATAAATTATGTACTGACATTCTGAAAACATGTTTTAGCTACTCAGTGAGGGTCATCATAGCAACTACTTCTTAGACTGTTGTGGGAATTAAATTAGATAATGCATGTAAATCAATTAGCACATTTTCTGACACACATTATATTTTTAAAAGCTTAATTATTTATTGATATTATGTTGATTTTATTCTAGATAATGAAAACCATACATAACATGGAAAAGGACATGTTTTAGTTACTACATTTCCTGGTATATAAGACATATATCTTGTTTGTATGGTTGCATATATTGCCTGTGGTAATCTCTAAAAACTGTCTCTTGCTAGGATAAATGTGAGTCTTCTGAATGAATGAAATATATAAATAAATATGTGTTTGTATAAATGAATTTGTATATATTAGTATTTACATACATTGCTATGAGAATAATTGTTAAAATTGTCTAGATTTATTTCTAATATTTTTACATAAAAACATACTTTAGTGACTTTTTCCCCCAGAGAAAAACAAGTTTAATGAGGAATATGATCTTTAAGACATTTTTCTATGCATAAACACATGTAAATAAAGTATCACTATTAAAACAGGATAATAACATATTATGTTACATAGCACAATTTTTCATGTAATTATATATTTCGATACTTCTCCATATCAATAAATACTTTATATTTATGAATTTCAAAGTATTTATTAAGGTATATAAAATTGCACTGAAGATGCTACCTCATTTATTCTTAAAATCCACAAATAGTAGGAAAGACAGTCTGGCCAATTCATGGTGGACTTTCTCTACTCCTTCACTTCATTTTGGGCAATTTTTCAATTTTGGGGCAAGGGCTATGAATCATCGGAGAAGTAGAGAGGACATGACTGGGTCCTTGATGCCACTGCTTTGTCCTATGCTGCCTTTTATTGGCCCCTTGGCCAGCGGCTTTAACGCTTACTACATCTTCTAGGGAATTGGAATCATTCTTTGACAGATGACAGTCAGATTGTACACTCTGCACCCATTTTATTCCAAACACAAGGCCTCTTAAAGTCTTCTCACCATTCCACCTCCCTTAGTCTGTTCAGTGTTGTAAGCAAAATACCATAGACTGGGTAGCTTAAGTAACAGACATTTATTTCTCACAGTTTTGGAGGATGGGAAAACCAATTGTTTTAACTATTATATTGTAGGAAACTTTCCATTATAATTGAGTCCTAACCCATTGTTTTAATAGCTAAAAAGGATTCCAAATAAGTGTTGGAAAATTGTACTTACTTACTGAGAAAATGAGCATACCATTTTTCCTGTATCCTATTAAATGAATACACACTTTTTAAAAGTGTTGACCAATTTGATGAGGAAAATTTATCACTTCATTATTTTAATTTACATTTTCCTGGGTTACTATGAAGATTTAGCACCTTTCCATATAGTTACTAGTATTTGCCATTGGTAGATCTTTCTGCTTTGTGTAGTCATAGCCTTTGATTAATAGAATTTTTCTTTGGGCTTGCTTGCCTTTTTTCTTTTTGGTTGGTATATAGTATTTACAATTATGAATAAAATCCACTAGATTCTGCAGAATTGCAAATCTTCTCTAGGGCTTTATAAAATCATATACTATGAAATTTTTAAAATATTTTTCTTTAACTTTTTTAATGACTCTGGGTTTGCATCTTTCTTTAGAAAGTGCTTTTATATAGCAATATTTAAATAAAATTCTTATTGTATTCATCTACAATAATTTTAGCATTGATAACACTTTTAATACATAGTGGATATAGTTATTATGAAAGAAGTCAGCTATTTGATTTACTTTTTCAAAAGTATAATTTATTTTTCCAAGAATTATTATCTACATTTCACCAAAAATAGTATTTGAAGTGCTTTTATTTTATGCACAAAGTTTCTAAACATAGCATTAGAGATAACTATTCTGTTACTTGGTATTTTTCTCACTGTCTTTTAATTTGTAATAAATGATGCATTCATATGTATGATTTTCAGGATAAGGTTTGAGTTGGAATCCCCCAGCAAATGATTAGCTGTTTCCCACAAGTCATTGTACAGAATATCTCTCACTTTTGGTTGTAAACACATGTTTAAAATAAAGAAGATCTCATAAATGGGGATATTTATCACACATGCAGAGTACCTTGCTTTTCTACCTAATCTACCATTGCAGATGAGTCTACATTAACATAAGTAGTTCTACTTCATTCTTATTAATATTACATGGCTTGGAGGTACCATATTTATTTAGTCAGTATCCTCTTGATGAAAATTTGAGATATTTTAAGTGTATTGTTCTTAAAAAATTATTTATGTACCTTAGATGCAGAAAATAGAGTTAATCAAACACTAGTTCATATTAGGAAATAATTATTAATACTCTCTTGCTCATTTGTGTGTGTGTGTGTGTGTGTGTGTGTGTGTGTGTGTGTGTGTCCTTTTGGCCTCATAGCCTATTCCTTTCACACATACTTCTGTGTTTATTAGATCTTTTCTTACATGTTCTTCCTGATATTTTTCTCTATCTATTTCTTTATTTGCTCTGGTCTATAAATCTTGAAACTTTATGTTAGGGACAGATGTCTTTCGCTATTCTTACAAGAGCAAGGTCAAATCTAAATGAGAAGAGCAAAACAAGTGGGGTCAAGGCTTCTCTTAAACACTCACACCAGCCATGTCCCTTACAAAGCTACAGGTTCCTTACAAAGTGTTCTCCATCTTTTGGATTGCTTGTCCATGTTTGACACCTCATTTTGCCAAGTTAAGAGTATAAACTTGGCCCTTTCTAGCCTGCCCCTGTCCCCCGCCCAGGCTCACCACTCTATTGTCTGTGTCCATGGGTCATGCATGGATCATACATGTTCTTTGGTTGAACTCATACTCTGTTTTCCAAGATCTAATTTGAAGAAAGTATCCCACTACTTTAAAAACAGCAATGCTAAAAGGAAAGATTCTATGAGATAAATGTTTTATGATAAAGACAATGTCAGATAATACATCACAGGACACATTTTTGGAATTAAACTATACACCTCTGGGAGAACACAACTGTCATAGAGATAACTGGCATGTTTACTAGCTAATCTGGTGGTTTGCTCTGGCTAAGCAGTCCACAATGAATGCGTCACTGCTCTGGTGTTCTCGCACTCCTGTGCATTTCCTGGCATGGCATTTTGAATGCAAGTTGAGTAACTGTAGCATTGGGGTCTAGCTTAATTGTCTAGATTGCCATGGTCTACAACATTATTCCATGAATACACCAGCTTTTTATTTCTTTAATTTCTGGAATTAAATTAGTGAAATCTTCTTGGGAAGCATTTTATTATATTAAATAGAGTGCAGCAAAATACTATAAATGATTATGAACAAAAGGAAAGGCATCCCTCTTAATTTTTGAACCAGAAAAGATCAAGAACTTTAAGTGACACTTAGATTTTTTAAAAGAAATTGTTTTTGTATTTCCCATTAAGCCTTCTAATTAATTTAGTAAAAGATTCTTGTAAACCCCAGAGATAGAACTTTTGGCAGTCTAAAAATGATTTCTTTCTGCCCAAGGGAAATATAATTCAATTAGTTTATGTAATTCTTTCTAATGATTCATTCTGTATACCAGCCATAGGAATAACAGAGAATCATGTTGTTCCAGGCCATTCCCTGTGGAATTCTGCATTTTTATTCCATAAAAATAACTGCAATACCTGCACGAAGTGCCTTTGGGAATCCTTAAGGAGTTCACATTTTCAGTAAAGGTAGAACAAATATCAAAATGACATTAATTTATTAAAAATGTATTTAACTCTATCACTTGGGTGAGCATAAAAGATCACCATCTTGGTTTCAAGCATGACTTAAGTTTTATAGTTAAGGGCACAATCCATTGAAAATGATAGTAATTTAAACTCTCTGGTGATTTTTACAAATTTTTAATTTTCCGTTTGATGCATGATATGAATGCAAAAATAAAAAGTGAGACTGTATCAAAATAAAAAGCTTCTGCACAGCAAAGGAAACCATCAACAAAATTAAAGGCAACCTCTGAAATAAGAGAAAACATTTGCATACCACCTATCTGATAAAGGGTTAATATCCAAAACATATAAGAAACTCATGAAATGCAATTGCAAAAAAGTAAAAAAATAAAACACACACAAATAATCCAATTAAAAATGGGCAAAGGACTTGAATAATTTCTTCAAAGAAGTCATACTAATGGAAGCAAGTACATTAAAAGGTGCTCAACCTCATTAATCATCAGGGAAAAACAGATCCAAACCACAATGATATAAGTTCACAGTTAGGATGTCTATTATAAAAAATACAAGAGATAACAAATGCTAGCAAGGACATGGTGGCAAGGGAACTCCTATATGCTATTGGTAGGAAAGTAAACTGCTACAGCCACTATTAAAAATAGTATAGATGTTACTCACTTCTGGAAAATAAAAAAGTAATTATTATGTGATCACAATTGCATTTCTGGATATATATCCAAATAAAATGAAACCATTATCTCAAATATCTGTAGTCCCATGTTTACTGCAGCACTATTCACAATAACCAAGGTAATGGAAACAACTCAAGTCTCTATTGACAGATGATTGCACAAGGAAAATGTAGTATCTATATGTACAATAAAATATTATTCTGTCTTTTAAAAAAAAGAAGGAAATCCTGCCATTATGACAATATTGATAAACCTGGAGAGCATTATGCTAAGTAAGATAAGCCAGACTGAAAGCCAAGTACATACTCATGGTCTCACTAGTATGTGGAATATTAAAGAAAAAGAAAAGTTAAACTCGTAGAAATAGAGGTTGAATGATGGTTGCCAGGCACTACGGGTGGGAAAACAGGGAAAGGCTGATAAATGGCACAAACTTTCATTTATAAGATGATTATAACATAAAAACAGTACATGATTACATAAAATTTATGTATTTCCCTCAAAATTAAACAATAAAACATTTGACAGAGTATTTCTGCTAACAAAGTTAAATACCTCTTATTGATAGACACATATTTTAGTGACTAGAGGAAAGGAATATCAGATACACTTGCATATGTTTTTTAATGTTTAACCTCAATAAAATTTTAATGAAATTATTTGTCTGACCACTGACCATCAAATTTTACTCTCTATTTCTTAACTTAGAACTGCACATCAACCCCTTGTATGAATCAGAAGTCAGACCATGGCTTTACTTGCATTTGCCCAAGTTGCTACGCGGGTGCATATTGTGAGATAAGTACTGATAGTTCTGCTGAGCGGGAACTGAATATGGACCTCTGTGTTAATGGCGGGATCTGTCTCGGTGAATCTGGACACACATTTTACTGCAGGTCAGTGTTTATTTATTCACAATTAACTAAATATATATTTAGTAAAACTTATAAATATCCCTCTAGTAATGCACTCTAAAGATACTAAGTCTTAAAGTAAATTTTTGTCTTAATGTAATTACAATTTGAAATAAAAAATTCTAAAAAACATTGCTTATATTTTTTCCAAATACCATATATTCATACTAGTATCAATCCTATGTATGACTTTTGAATTTAATCATCCCTTATTTTATAATTATTTCATATCTCCTTTCCTTTTAAAAATGGTTTTTAATCATTTAGCACATGCAGACTATTTATTATTATGACAGTTATTATTCTTTATTATATATTGCCTAATGTCCCATTTCATTTGTAAATTGTGTGTCTCTCTGTGTGTGTGTGTGTGTGTGTGTGTGTGATTTTCTCTTGTATTTTGTATTTTTAAACATGGATTTTCTTATTTTACTCTGGTGGTCTGATAAAGTATAAAAAGTAAACATGCTTCTAATATCAATAGTAATTACATAAAATAAAATTATAAAAATGGTCACTTGACTACAGCAAGGGTCCTCCAGTTAATCAGTGCCTGGATTAAGTCATCAGTAGTAAATTAAACAATTATTCACAGTAGATACAATGTTATAAATCAAAATTTTATTCATGGGAAGCCACTAAGTTCAAGAAATTAAAACAAAATAGAAATAAGTGAACCTAAAACTAGATAGTATTTGTTAAATCAAGCACCATAAAGCTGCTCTGTAGAATGTTATTTTAGAGGATGTTATCCATGGGATAGTTACAGTGACCTTTCTTAAAGCATGAAGTCAATGGAATTCAAACTAAGATGCCTGTTTCTTTTCCTGGAATACCTCCCAGGGACAAGCATAGGCATCCATTACTGCTACAGGGTTATTCAAATTTCACTTAAATAAAAGTGATCTGTCTTCAAAAATTTCACTGATGATTCAGTGTTCCCAAAAGACCCTGAAAGTCTCTGAATGGTGAATGCCTTGGGAGGTTCAGTTTCTAGGTAATTTTCACAGTGACTGTGAGGAGCCATCAAAATTGGTGTCAATTTAACATAGTCCACAGACAGTTTATTTACAAAAGAAAACTCATATATTAGCAGGATAGATGTGCAGGTAAAATCATCAGATTTTTGTGGGAGTCAAGGATTAATCTGTGATATATTTATTTGAACCATAATAAAATAATCATTTTCTTTACTGACAAAATTATATCAAAACTATTGTTTTGATCGATATTTTGCATTAATTTTTTAATTTAAATTCTTTATTATTTAAAGTATTACTTAAGTCTCCTTTTTCCCCCATTGACCACTTCCCAGCCGCCCCCCGACCCCAGCACATGCCCTTCCCCCTCCCCCTGTCTGTGTCCATTGGTTATGCTCATATGCATGCATACAAGTCCTTTGATTGATCTTTTACCCCCTCACCCACTGCCTTCCCTCAGGTTGATCAGTCTGTTTGATGCTTCTATGACTCTCGTTCTATTTTTGTTCATCGGTTTATAATGTTCATTATATTCCACAAATGGGTGAAGTCATATGATATTTATCTTTCTCTGACTGGCTTATTTCGCTTACATAATGCTCTCCAGGTCCATCCATGCTGTTACAAATGGTAAAAGGTCCTTGTTTTTATAGCGGCCTAGTACTCCATTGTATAAATGTACCACAGTTTTCTAATTCACTCATCTGCAGATGGGTACTTAGGTTGTTTTCAAATCTTCGCTATTGTAAATTATGTTGCTATGAATATAGGGGTGCATCTATCTTTCTGATTGGTGTTTCTGTTTTCTTGGGATATATTTCTAGAAGTGGGATTACTGGGTCAAATGGCAGTTCCATTTTTAATTTTTTGAGGAAACACCATATTGTTTTCCACAGTGGCTGCACCAGTCTGCATTCCTACTAGCAATGCAAGAGGGTTCCTTTTTCTCCGCATCATCTCCAGCACTTGTTTGTTGATTTGTTGATGATAGCCATTCCAACAGGTGGGAGATGGTACCTCATTATTGTTTTGATTTGCATCTCTCAGATGATTAGTGACTTTGAGCATGTTTTCATGTCTCTTGGCCTTCTGTATATCTTCTTTCGAAAAGTGTCTATTTAGGTCCATTGCCCATTTTTTTATGGCATTGTTTATCTTCATTTTGTTATGTTGTATGAGTTCCCTTTAAATTTTGGAGTTTAAACCCTTATGGGAGATAATGTTGACAAATATGTTCTCCCATGCAAGTGGGCTTTCTTGTTGTTTTTTGATGATTTCTTTTGCTATGCAGAAGCTTTTTATTTTGATGTAGTCCCATTTGTTTATTTTCTCCTTAGTTTCCATTGCACAAGGAGCTGTATCGGTAAAGATAGTGCTATGACATATGTCTGATATTTTGCTGTCTATGACCTCATCTAAGGATTTTTATGGTTTCCTGCCTTACGTTTAAGTCCTTTATCCACATTGAATTTATTTTTGTGCATGGCGTAAGTTGGTGGTCTAGTTTCATTTTTTTGCATGTACTTGTCCAATTTTCCCAACACGATTTATTGAAAAGACTGTCTTGACTCCATTGTATGCTCTTGCCTCCTTTGTCAAATATTAATTGAACATAATGGCTTGGGTCAATCTCTGGGTTCTCTGTTCTGTTCCATGGTCTACATGTTTGTTCTTGTGCCAGCACCAGGCAGTTTTGAGAACAGTTGCTTTATAGTATAGTATAGCTTGATATCTGGCATTGTGATTGTTCTAACTTTGTTCTTCTTTCTCAAGATTGCTGTAGGTATTCAGGGTCTGTTTTTATTCCAGATGAATTTCTGGAGAGTTTGTTTTAGGTCTTTGAAGTATGCCGTTGGTATTTTAATGGGGATTGCATTGAGTCTATAGATTGCTTTGGGTAGTATAGACATTTTAATGATGTTGATTCTTCCAATCCATGAACACGGTATATTTTTCCCTTTATGTCTTTATATCTTTTTTCAGTGTCCTGTAATTTTCTGAGTACAGGTCCTTTTCCTCCTTGGTTAAGTTTATTCCTAAGTGTCTTAATTTTTTGTTGTTTCAATGCTAAATGGGATTATTTTTTAGATTCTCTTTTTGTGAGTTCATTATTGGTGTATAAAAAAGCCATAGATTTCTAGGTATTAATTTTGTATCCTGCTACATTGCCAAATTCATTTATTAGTTCTAGTAGTTTTTTGATGGAGTCTTTAGGGTTTCCTATGTACAATATCATGTCATCTGCAAAGAATGACTTTTTGACTTTTTCTTTTCCAATTTGAATGCTTTTTATTTCTTCTTCTTGTCTGATCACAATGGCTAGCACTTCCAGTTCTATGTTGAACAGGAGTGGTGAAAGTCAACATCCCTATCTTGTTCCTGTTCTTAGGGGAAATGGTTTTAGTTTTTGCCCATTTAGTATGATGTTGGCTGTAGTTTGTCATATAAGGCTGTTATTATGTTGAGGTATGATCCCTCTATTCCCACTTTGCTGAGAGTTTTTAGCAGGAAATGATATTGGATTTTGTCAAATACCTTTTCTGCATCAATTGATATAATCATCTTACTTTTGTCTCTCAATTTTTTATGTGATTTATCACATTTATTGATTTGGGGATATTGTACCATCCTTGCATCCCTGGAATAATCCCACTTAGTAATGGTGTATGATCTTTCTAATGTAATGCTGGATCCAATTTGCTAGAATTTTGTTGAGGATTTTAGCATCTATGTTCAGGGATATTGGCCTGTAATTATCTTTCTTTGTGGTGTCTTTATCTGGTTTTGGTATTAGGGTAATGCTGGCTTCATAAAAAGAACTTGAAAGTATGCCTTCCTCTTGAATATTTTGGAATAGTCTGAGAAGAATAGGTTTTAGTTCTTCTTTGAATGTTTGGTAAAACTCTCCTGTGAAGCCTTCTGGCCTTGGGCTTTTGTTTTCTGGAAGCTTTTTGATGACTGCTTCAATTTCCTCCATATGTATCAGCCTACTCAGATTTTTTTGATTCTGCTTGAGTTTTGGAAGGTCATTTTTTTAGGAATATGTCCATTTCCTCTAGGTTGTTTAGTCTGTTGGAGTAGAGTTGTTCATAGTATTTTTTTAACAATCTTTTGTATTTCTGTTGAGTCTGTTGTTATTTTGCCTCTTTCATTTCTGATTTTGTTTATTTGGGTCCTCTCTCTTTACTTCTTGGTGAGCCTGGCTAAAGGTTCATCAATCTTGTTTATCCTTTCAAAGAACCAGCTCTTGGTTTCATTGATCTTTTGATTGATTTTTGGGTTTTTTTCGTTTTTTTGTTTTTTTTGTTTCTGTCATTTATTTCTGCTCTGATCTTTATTATCTCCTTCCTTCTGCTCATTCTGGGCTTTTCTTGTTGCTCTCTTTATAATTCTTTATGTTGTAGAGCTAGATAATTTATTACCAGTTTTTCTTTTTCTTTTTTTTTTTTTTGAGGTTGGCCTGTAATGCTATGAACTTCCCTCTCAGGACTGCTTTCACTGTGTCCCATAGGTTTTGGGTTATTGTGTTTTCATTGTCATTCATTTCCAGGATGTGTTTAAGTTCCTCTTTGATTTCTTTGGTAACCCAATCATTGTTTAATAGCATGCTATTCAGCCTCCAAGTATTTGAATTGTTTTTACTGTTTTTATTGTAATGTATTTCTAATATTATGCCATTTTGGTCTGAAAAGATGCTTGATATGATTTCAATCTTCTTGATTTTGGAGAGACTTTGCCTATGACCCAATATGTGGTCTATCTTTGAAAATGTACCATGTGCACTTGAAAAGAATGTAGCTTTGGGGTGAAATTTTCTGAAGATGTCAATTAAGTCCATCTGATCTAGTAAGTAATTTAGGATAGCTGTTTATTTGCTGGTTTTTTTTTTGTCTATAGGACTTACCAGTGATGTCAATGGGGTATTAAAGTCCCATACTATGACATATTGTTATCAATCTCTCCCTTGATATCTTCCAGAAGTTGTTTGTTTTTTGTTGTTTT